TAGATTTCAAATTGAGATGCTCTTTCTAGATTCGAAAAATGATTGGTGAATGTTAACCCTGGAATGTTCATTATTCCAGCCACTTAGCAGAAGTGAGGGGAGGCTTATGGTCAGAAGTCAGCATTCCTGGATTCTAACCCCATCCCCGGCCCCGGCTATGTCAGGCCACCTCGCAAAACCTCAGGACATCTGTGCTGCTCTGACCTGGACGGGCCCGGCCCCATGTCCTCCTCAGGATGACCCTGTCTGCCACCCCGACAGGGACAGCGGACGGTCAATGTGCTTGTTCAATTCGTAAGAAAACCAAAAGGCAGTTTGTGTAATGCAGATGGAAGGAAATGCGCTTTTACTATTAACTTTCGGGAGCAGTATATTATCTTCATTACGTATGAAATGTCGTCATTTAAACACTCAGGAGGAACTGATATTCCAGATGGTCAAATCACTAGCACATTCGCTCAGAATTCTAGGTTTTATAAACTGGCCTCAGGTATCGCTTCACTGCAATAAGCCAGAGAAAGGAGAGAGGCTGCAAAAGTAAAATGATGCCTGATTTTAAAGTGTTAGTTTATCAAAATATTACATCCCATTTGAACTAACATCAGGGAGCCTGAGAAGTCCCTCAAAAACACTGGTTTCGCCAAATTATAGGAAAAAGCCATAAAACAATCGTCAATTTTGCTGATGTCCCATGTCTTCCTCTTATCCTAAGCAACTGCCTTATTTCTCAATTTGCAATGTGACCTTGAGATAACATTATGGTGTCCAGCCCCACAGCAGGTGGCAGTCGGGCACACTGGGAAACATGAGACCCACCACGACACTCAGCAGGGCCTGATAAGCCGTGACACACAAACAGAAACGTGGCCCTGTCACCGAGCACAGACGCTCTTTCCAGAAAGAGAACCTGGGACCCACAGTGGCCTCAGGGACACTGGGAGTAACGGCAGCCTGGACAGCTTCAGGGGCGTCACCAGGCCCCTACACTGCAGCCAGAGACCCCACACACTCTGAGCAACAGGCGGCACAGGGCTGCCAAGGGCTGCCAGGGCCAGGACACGTGACACTGGGACCCAGAAGTGCCCCGGGGCTGTCCCCACAGGGCGCCCGCTGCTGAGTGCTTAGACGGGGACAGAACCTTGGGGGAAATGCCGTGTCCAGGCAGCATTTGTGTGAATTCTAGACCATTTCTAAATACAAGAGAATTTTCACGTCTTCAGTAAGGAAGTCCTATTCCAAGTCTGGATAAATAAACTCTCTTTTCAATGTCATAAAAGCACAACAAATTAGACACGGGAACAAAGAATATGAAATAACATTTATCCAACTGTGTTTCATGAATTCAATATCTAGTTAAAACATAATAGAAAAATAAGAAAAATGTACAGAATTTGTGCTGCTGTGAGGACACACGACAGGACACATCGCCCAACAGTCTCTCCCGGTCAGTCGTGCCAGGGGTCCCGGGCCCCCAGATCCGGCAGGCGCTGCTATGACAGCGCAGGGATAAAATACTGCAGGGACACGTCCTCGTGGAGCAAATCGAAGTGAACCACCTTGTTGCTGACGATATCTGGGGAGAGAAGAAATCTGTGACCATCAGGCCTCCCAGCTCACATGTCCACCCCAGACCCCACTGACGGTGCCTCTGCTCCCGGGGCGCCCGGTCCCCCGGAGGTGTGTGACCTGCCCCCGGCCGGCACAGCTGACCTGGATGCCAGCCTCGCTCGGGAGAGAGAAGCGAAGCTGCCAAGGTCTCAGGCAGACTTCCGGGCACCACATTCACCCACATCCACGCTCTTCTAGGAAAAAGCAGCTTCCCGCCAGGGAGTGAGTGCAGCGAGGGAAGTCCAGGCGCACGGGTTCGCTGCCACCCGGGACGGGCTGCGTTACGCACTAGAGAGCAGCAGGGGACAGCAGGGGCACTTCCGTCGGCAGCCCAGGGACTTCAGCAGCCCTGCGAAGGCCACGGGGCAGGGTCCAGGCAGAGGCGCAAGCCCAGACAGACAGCGCCCAGGAGGAGGACGGGTGACCGCAGAGTGTGACAAGGCCCAGTAGCCAGAGCCCACGGCCACCAGGGCCAGGACAGTGGCTGCTGCTCCAAAGGAAACCCGCTGAGGCCAGATCAAGCCAGGCGGCGAGGACAAAGGGGTGGCGAGGGCACTCACACCCCAGCTTTGGAAAGGCAGTCACAGGAGGAGGGGAGGACAGGGGACCAGGACAGACTCCCCGGAGAGGTGCTGGGCACACGCAGGTGGAGACCGAGAGCAGCAGGGGCAGCCCTCAGCGGCAGGACGGGTGCTGACAGCGGCAGGTCGCCCAGGGACAGAGCGGCAGGCAGGAAGGAGGTCTGGCGGGTGAAGGGCCAGTGAGAGAAACTCGGGTTTGCAGTCACGGCTGGCTGGTGTGCCTCCGTCACACGTGGGGCCCTGAGAGCAGGGCGGTCAGTCTGGCCAGTGACAAACAGCCCTGTCTCCTGGCCACAGCGCAGCTCAGGGCCTGCTGCCCGCCTCCACTCCGCAGACAGGCGGCGGCGCCGGGCCACACCTGGAGCCTCGCAAAACTGAGACAGGACGGCCCCGCCCAGAGCTACGAGGCGCCCGCGCTGGCATGTGGCAAGGCGCCATCTAAGCCTGCACAGACCCTGCGCTGAAGCACAGCTTCCGCCCCTCAGCCCAGAAACTCAGCCGAGCCTGGCACAGCGTCTCCGGGAGCAGCCCAGGCGGGCCCGGCGCCCACGGGCCCTGCCCAGCCATGCCCGCCCGCGGCCCTTGCCGGCCTCCTGAGCCCGCCACCCCACCGAAGGCCTTCCCGCGGCCCCCAGGCTACGCCCGCCTTGGTTTCTCCTCCTCTTCCAGCCTCTCATTCTAGACGCTGGTCCTAGACACAGCCGCCTGTTCGCCGTTCCTTCTCTACAGGGTGCTGACAATGACAACGTGGCGGTCATCAGGTCCACTTCGGGGCCCTCCTCCTCCTCAGCTGTGCTCACAGGCGGCTGAGTGCCAGCCGGGCAGCTGTCACTAAGAGGTGCCCTTCCAAGCACAGCCCGTTTCCCCTCAGGGGCTGTGATCTCCGTGGCCAGGAGACAGCCAGCCCTGGAAGACCCGGGAGTGAGCCCTTCCTCATGTGGGGCCGATGCGAGCGTGCCGAGGCAGGTGTGCGGCTGCGGGAGACGGAGTCAAGGAAGGGGTCGAGAGGACGCAGGCGCCAGGTCGGGTTTAGACAGGAAATGGCAAAGGCATCGCATGGGCGTGGCAAGCCAGGGCGTCAGGGCGTCGTGCCCGTCAGGCTGGGTCAACGCGGGCGGAGGACGGGGGGGTCAGCACGCGACCTCCCACAGCCTCTCCAGGCGCTGACCACGCGTGGTGCCCGGCGAGAAGGCGTGGACCCCGCCAGGCCTGCAGGAGCCCGACCCCGCAGCTGTCTCCCACGGGGCCTCTGGGTGCCTCGGAACAGGAAACCCACACACCCGAGGCCACGTGACCGAGCTGTCACACGTTTACGAGGCCGCGCACAACCTGGGGCGCTAGAGGGGACGAGCGTGTCGGAAGTGTGAACACAGAACAGAGCAAAGCGCACTCACTGCAGACGGCCTTGGTGGGGTTCACTTGCTGTCCAGAGAGAAACTGCAGGAACTTCCGGATGTCCACATGCACTTCCACCATGCGCGCTGGGTTCCTGTCCTGAGAGGCGTCTTCCCAGGCTAAGATCACAGGGATGTGACAGGGAACTCAGAGAAGCAGCGTTTAACGGCGCTTACGGAAACACGCTGCGTCACCCTGGTCAGCGGCGCAGAAACGCAGCTAAATGCAGACGTCACACTCGGTCAGCGAGAATGTACTGGTCCTGACTCTGGGGCACGTGCTAATTTCCGGGGGAGCTTCACTTACAGCAGCGGTTCTCAGCCTTCCTAATGCTGTGACCCCTTAATACAGTTCCTCATGTTGTGGTGACCCCCAACCATAAAATTATTTTCGTGCTACGCTATAACTGTAATGTTGCTACTGTTATGAATCGTAATGCAAATATCTTTTTGTTTTCCGATGGTCTTAGGTGACGCCCGTGAAAGGGTTGTTCGACCCCCAAAGGGGTCGCGACCCCCAGGTTGAGAAGCTCTGACTTACAGGGACCTGAAATATGAGCCAGTCTCCCCCTTCAGGCCAAACAAGAGTCTCCTCTCACGTGTGTCTAAGAGCTGAGCCGACACAGCTAACGCAGGCCTCTCAGCGGAGAGAGAACGTCTGTTCACCTCTGGGGAAGGGAGGCCCCTCTTTGTTATTAAAACTAACAAAACGAGTCACAGCGACCAAGTCCTCCGGCACAGCTGTTATCAAAGACTTGGTCACACGGATGTCACCTTGTCCCACGTGGAGAGGAAGTCCCTCAGCTACGCTAAGCGCGGCTGTGACAAGCAAACCTGGACACTAATTCTGTAAGTTGGGGGCCCCGTGTATCTGGGACACGTGTGTGACTACACAGATGCCACGTCGTCAGCAAGTGCCCCTCCCACGACCCCGTGTGCTCAATCGCCCTGTCCCCTTCACTACTTACTGAACTGACTCGTGGTCCCTTATCACCTTGTATGAGACAGAACACCTGATCCCGTGAGAAGTTTCCATTTGCTAATCTAATTTTGTATTAAGGAGGCAAAGCAGGAGACAGAAATGCTATCTGCCTTTCTGATTCATTCCAGCGGACAAACTGCAACCTCCAGCAGCAGCAGCAGAAACAGGAGTCTCAGGGCTGGCAGGGCCCTGGGTTACCCAGCGCGGCCCGGCTGGCAGAGCCCGTGCCCATCCTTCCGCCTCCCAGCAGCAGGCCCACTCCTGATGCCCAGGGGCTCAGCTGCCCTCTCCGCCGACCAGCGGCGGGCATTCAACCTCAGTCATGCCCCGTCCCCAGGCCCGAGTCACAGCCTCTTTGGGTTAGAGGCTCAGTAAGGCAGCCATCTGAAACGACGTGTCGGGAGCAAACGGAACCCACCAGGAAACTTACCTACTGGAGGATTTCCGAGATCTTTAAAATGAGTTGTAACACACACTAGTTCAGATTCTATTTTCAAGTTCAGGTCTCCATTTAGGTTTGCTTCAATTATCTGCAAATTGAGCATTTCAGTCTTAAAAGAGAGAAGGAAATCACCCCCGTGACCCAAAAGAACCAGGTGACAAGGTAGCCCCACCAACCCCCGAACACTTCCGACGGCACCAAGACCCACCCGGCATCAGCAACAGAGAGGAGACGAGGCCTGAGGCGCCCACGGGGGGAGCCTGGAGAACTCGGCAGAGACCTGGGAACATGAGCACTGGGGGCTCTGCCAGGAGACAGGGAGGGGGTGGGATCTGGGGGGCCTGCACAGGGTGGGCGGAGCACGAGGGGGAGGACCCAGGAAGCCCAGGGGAGCTGGCTACGGGGGAGGCCACGTGCCTCACCACTTTGAGGTCACGACGGAACAGAGAACCCCACAGTTCTGCAGCCAGGACCCACCCGGCCCCCCCACACCTGGAAGGAAAACGCATCCTAAGGGGTTGTGGTCAGACCCCAAGCCAAGACATTCTGGAAAGCGAGGAGCTACACTGGCCAAGCAGCACTCAGGGCCTGGGGTGCTGCACCAAGCACGCGGAGAGGGAGGGACTTGTGATTCAGGAGGGGCTGGGCGACACTGGGGACAGCGAGGCTACGAAGGGAGAGCGCAGGACAGAATCAGGGACGCTCTGACATGACGTGACCAGGCTGCCTGCAGATGCACAAGGAGAGCGGACAGAGCGCAGGAAGGAACCTGAAATATAAGGGGAAGTATCGCAAAGGGAAGTGAACAGGCAGGAAGCCACGAGCAGTAAGAGAAGACGGGGCGGAAACACAGATCACCGAACAGAACCGGAGATGCAGAGGATCTGAAGGACACCGGGCTCGAGGCCGACAGCAGGTCCAGAGACGGACGGCGCGTCCGTGCTAGCCAGACAGCTCCCGAGCGAGCCGAGAGGCACACCTGGGACTTCAGAGGGAACGGGAAATGCGGGTACCTGGCCCCCGCCCTCACCCACTAGCAAGTCCCGGCCCCTCACACAGGAGGCAGAACCAGACGGCATCGTCCCCAGACAGCACCGCGGTGAAGGCGACGGGGAAGAAAGACAACGCGGGAGCCCAGGACCTCACACCCCGCCACACTGACACCATGAACCTGGGAAGCGAATGAGACACTTGCTCCTCCTGTCTGTCTGTCCCGCGTGATCTGCCAGAGAACAGCTTCAAAGCACAGGTGTGGGGTCCCCTTTCCCCGTGCTCCCTAAGAAAACGGCGGGGGTGGAGGGACAGCGTAAGGTGTCACTGCTTTACGCTCTGACAGTGCAGACGTCATGCACACGTTCCATGATGAGAGCAGAGAGAACGGAGGCGGAACCCAGGGGGCTCGCCGACGGCCTGTTTCTACGAGTGGGCCAAAGCGCTGCTCTAAGCGCGGATTTAACGTAACCACAGAGCCTTTAGGATTTCACGGGAACAGAACGCAGATGCTGGAAGAGAGGTTTCCAGGTTCAGAAGGTCTGGACACGCTGTCAGGTCTCCAGGACGCCAACAAGCTGCAGTGTGGTGACAGGTGGGGCTGGCGCCCTCCCAACACAGCTGGGCCCGGTGACGGGCGCGGCCCCTCCCCACTGCACACCGCCCCCAGCGCCCACCCGTCCCCGGGGTCCCCTTCCACTCCACTGTCCCGTGCCTGCCGTGCCTTCTCCAAGGGCCCCAGAGGGCCTTTCCTTTCCAGCTCTGCCCTCACACCAGTGGGCTCTTTTAACTGGACAGCGTCTCCAAACCAAGTCTGGGGAAAGGTGCCCCACCCGCGGCCGGCCTAAGGTCTCGCTCACCTGCCCACCACACTCGGCTCCTTTCTACCCACAGGTCTGGGTAGAGCCCATGTAGGGCCCTGCAAGTTGGGACTCTGCTCCCCGATTACACGAGGCTGCCGCCTGGCCAGTGGAGACACAGAGGCACTGTCGGGTGTGGACGGGCCACCCGGCAGGTGCAGCAGGCAGATGGGGCCGTGGGGTTCGTCTGCACACTCTGTGGGCTGTACTCAGGGGGCGTACTTGAGTATTTCTCATTCTTGTTCCCTCAAACTGGTGAACTCTGAGTATTCCTCATTCCAGAAAGGAAACCAAAGGTTTTTCACCTTGAGTGAGCTCTTATTTCTAAGGCTTTTGACATCAAATAACAAATAGCCCTCCAGACTTGGCTGCATAATCCAGTGAAGGGACCCCTGAAAGGGAAGTATTCACCTTAGCCTTTTTTTTTCACTCCCCAGAAATAGGGTTCGATTCCCAGCCCGCTCTCCTGTACCCGGAAACACTGGACTGAAAGGATACGTAACAGTCCTTGTGAATATTCTGGGATGCCCATCAGGGGTCTGGAAAGACAACACGTAACATAGGCCCATTGGTTTCAATAAGCACACACTCAATAGCTACCTGTAAACTCACTGCTTCTGAAAAGCAATGGTTTTATATAAATTATTCAGGAAGGCAGGCTGCGAAGGTGCTAGACTCACTTCGGGCTTAAATGTGCTCGTGCGCTCTCCCAACCCTAACGCCCGAGTCCTCAGGCATCACGCCCCACGCCTCCTGACCACGCCTGGGGCTGTTCCCACAGTGGGTGGCTGGGACACACAGATGGCTGAGATAGCGTTCCCCTTTCCGATGCTGGCGGGTCACTTACCATGGAGCACTGAGCACGGAGTTATGGCAAATGGCGGGAGGCTAAGTGTTGGGGGGACGAGAGCAAGTGTGAAACGGCAGAGGCAGAGGCTAGAAGGAGCGGGCAGTGTGGGGAAGGGGACGAGTCCAGGGAGTTCTGCAGGGGTGGAGTGGCCATGTGACAGGGACGAGGCCAGGCAGATGAAGATCAGAGTTGACACTTCATCAGGTGGATGGCAGTTTTCAGAAGATTCAGGACATAATCAAATGTGGTTTGATTATCAAATTCAGAGAACCCTGGGTGTGAATGGGGACCACCCACACTCTTCCCCGTCACTGTCACACGCTGTAGCATTTCGTGACACTGTAGTGGATCGACCGCCACCCAAGCAAACAGCAAAGGAAACACGTCCCTGTACTTGGCAGAGAGCTGCTGAGGGGGAGACGGCGGGCTGGGGGCTTCGTGCTGGGCTCCCTGAGACCTCCGTTAAGTAGACAGAATGCCCAAGTCACTGCCAGTGTCAGTGACTCATAAAAAACGTCCACACAGCAGACAAACTGTGATGTTCTGTCCAAAACACAAGCGAAGGGAGAACTGTGGACTATATCCTTAATATGCTATAAATATAAGTATGACAGACTGGGGCAAACTCGAAAGCCTCCTCCGTGAGGGCGACGGAAAGCACCAGCACAGGTTTCCCGGACACTGTGAGGCTGCAGCTCTCAACAACAGGCCAGTGAGAGCCCGCAGCGCGGAGCCTCAGGGCAGCCTCGGGGCACCCACAGGCACCCACACCTGTGGCAGGCACGCAGCCAAAACCAAATACCCTCGGCTCGTTTCTAAGGCAGTTGTAACTTACGAGGTGATTGCTGATGTTTTTCATTTTTTCCACAACGCTCTTCATAGTCTTCAGGAGTGGCAAATAAATACTAACCTATGAAGCCAACGAGAAAAACAGGAGTATTAAAAACGCTGGCACAGCCAAGTGCCGACAGGTGCCTGCTACAGCCTAGCTTTGGAACGTGTGCACACATAATAGCTCTGCAATCTGGGGTTTTGAACTGGCTTTTTAACATAAGAAAAACCGTTTTACTTCACTAACTCACACCTGACTCGGTTACCTCGGCGACCACACACCTGTGGGCACTTCTGGCTCCACAGGACTGCAGCCCTCCAGCCAGAGGCCCTATGTCGCTGGAGTGAAATGAGACTCCGAGGGACGCGCCCCAGACTCAGGACTTTCCACCCGGAAAAAGGACCACGAGGAAGTCCCTGCACCTGCGCGCAGACCAACAGTTTTTCCAACAGGTTACCAACAGTGCTTGACATGAGGCAATGCTGGCTTTCCCAGGCGGGGCGGACGTCCTCCAGTAAAATCCCTTTTTCATGGTCTCTTCATTCACCATAAGCAAGAGGCAAAGGACCCCTGGGCCTCGTCTTTATTTCCAGCTGCCCTGGGATTCCTGCTGGACTGAAGGAGCCCCGCCCTTGGCCCTTACACACGCTCTGGATACCACTCCTTACAGGCCGTGGAACAAGCAAGTTCTGTGAGACCCAAACTGGTGCCTGAGCCATCGCTCCCGACAGAAACCACGGTCCCCCTCAGTCCCCCTCGGTGTAGTTTAGTTTTATTTAAGCGTCACTGCTGAGGAAGACGTTGTCTCCCACATGTGGCATGTGGCTTTATTGCCACACGCAGTGCTGTTTTAAGAACTTTACATAAACAGCAAAAGGCAAATACTCCATTTCTTTTCCTGGAATATCCTTTAATAAGTACCACTGTCAAACAAAATGTACTGCAAGGCGATAGCTGAAATCAGGGAACTCAAATCACTTGTGTGATGAGCGGCAGGACTGAGCGTCACTTACATCCGAGTCGGGGACTGTCGGTTCCTGCAAATCCTTCCACAGTTTCCTAGGAATGACCTTTATGGGGATATCGTGGGTCACAATGCGACTACTGTTCGATACAGATAGCTGCCAAGAGAAGAATTACACAGCGCTGTTATAACGTCAATATCAAATTTAAAAAAAAACAGAACTGAGAGACAAAAATAAAAAAGCTAACATCTAAGTGGAACGTTCTCAATCCATTCATCAAAACCATTCCACAAATATTCCGGGAGTGCGCGTCGCGCTCCGGGCTAGGAGCCGGGCGAGTGCGGAACAGGCCAATGCCATTACATCCGAGGGGCAGCGGAGTCCAGTGGGAAACGCTCAGGGGCCACGTGTGTCGCGTTAACAAAGGCAGTCAGCTTTCCGCGCGTTTGGCAGCCGGGCACGTCGCCACGTCAGGTCCTGCTGGGAAGTCTCGGAGCCGCTCCGTCCCACTCACCAGCTCTATGGAGACGGTGAGGCAGGGGAAGTGTTTGTTCGTCAGCTTGATCTTCAAGGCTCTGGCGTTCTGGGCCGTTTTCAAGGCTCGAGACAGGTTCTCCGATATCAGCTCTAAATAAATCGCATTGCTTTCTGCCGACACGCCTTCCATCTGAAATTCGCTGAAGAAGTTCTCCTGAGGGAAGAGGCGGGAGGGGGCTCCTGAGGCCTTTCCGCCGTCCCTGGCGGCGTGGGGGGCTTCCCGGGCGTCCGCTCACCTGTTCCAGCTCGCACCACATGCTCACGCCTCCGTGCGCCACCCTGTCGGCGAGGATGAAGTTCAGCCGACTCGGGCTGATGCGGAGCGTGCAGGTCTTGGCCAGCCTGGCTATCATGTTGCTGACTCCTGCGGCAGGGGGTGCAGGGGAGGCGTCACCGGGGCGCCACGACCCCGGGCCCGCTCGGCCGCACGGCCAGGGCCGCGCGGTGCAGCCTCCCGGCGGAAAGGCGCCCGCGTGCAGCGGGATCCCCCCGGGAAGCGCCTCGGCCCCGAGGCGTCGCGCCGGCCTCCCCACGCCCTGCCGGGCACGACGCCCACGTCGGGTGGGAACACGGACCCCGAGCCGCAGGCCACGGGCGCCCGGGGCGCGCATCCGCCCCTTCAGCACACCGCGCCCACGGGCGTGGCCGCGGGGTCGCGAACCACGGGGATCGGGTTTCGGGAACGAGCCGGGACACCGGCCGCCCGGCCCACTCTCGCCGGAAGCCCGCCGCGCGCACCGCCTCCTTCCGGCCCGCCCCCCTCGGGGCCCTCCCCACACCGCCCGGGCGCGCACGGCCCCGCTCACGCGTGAAGTGGTTCAGGCAGGCCGCGTCCACGATCTTGGCCCGAAACTTCATGCTGGCACGCGGGGCCGCGGAGGGGGGCCCGTCAGCGGCTGACTGGGTCTCGCCCTCAGCGTCCCGCCGGAAACGCCGCTGCGCGCTCGCAGGTTCCGCCCGCCGGCGGGAGAGGCGGGGCCGCGTTACGCTCGGGGTCACGTACGCGGGGGGCGGGGCCCGGTCGCGCCCCGGCCGAGGGGACGGCTCCCTTCAGTGACGCGGAGCCCTCCACCCCCAGGTATGAGGAGGGGCTCTGGGGTTCACATTTTGAAAGAACGTTGTGACTCCTCTTTCCGATTCTTTTAAAACGTCAAAAAGAAAGCCCGTCGCTTATTTATAAGAGGTGATTAGAGCTGGCGCTTAGCTGCCCGCCTCTCGCGCGCTCGGCCCTCCCTGCTCAGGCGGCGGCGCTGGCGCCCGGGCCCTGCCGGCACCGCGTTGGTCACGGTTCCCAAATGGTGGGGGAAACGGGAGGTTTCAGGAACATGGACGTTACGTGAGAATTCTTTAACTTTGTCTCATGATGAACTTCACCAGATCCTGTTAAAATTCTTAGAGCATAAATGACGTCATGATGTTACACAACTTTTAAAAAACGAAAGGAGAAATAGAACAAAAATTGTATCCAACTTGGTTTTTCAAAGACAACACTATCCGTGTTAAGAATATGTTAATTTTAATGCGTTTTGCAAACAGGAACCTACAACCTTGTTTTTAACTTGACATATAGAATCTAGATATGAAAAATAATAACTCGTTATTTTAAAAGGGTAAAATATTAAACTTACAAACAGTTCTGCCTACTTTGAGAATATAGCATAAAGCTAAATTCCAGTCTACACTGACGCATACAAACGTTTCCCAAACCAATCATGATGTTACATTAAAATTTTCTGGTTCACAAACGTGTTGTGTTACTTTATAAATTAATTTTAAAACAGAGAGATAAATTACTAAATGAGGTAGATACTATGGAGATCATGAATAGGATTAAAGAATGTATCTAAATAAGCTTTGTAAACAATATTTCATAATTAATTGACCTTTACTTTAAATCACTTAATTTTATGCCATGAAAAACAATACTTTTTAATAACGCCCTAAGAAGACTTGTGTAATTATACATTCTGTGTAGACAAAGGCCCAAATAATATAAGGAATTTTAACCCAACAAATATAAAATTAAGCTGTAACGATCTTTTCTTGAAAGACAAAAGGAATCTTACGCACTCTTGCAGTTTTCTTAAACTAATAGTATGTCAAATTAGCAACTCAGTAATTTCAGTGGTAATTAAATCTACTGACACTGCTTACCTACCTTTTTGTCAAACGGTTGAGGCCAGGAAGGCGGTCACCAGAGGCCTGAGAAGCCTGTGTGGGACGGAGCTTCCCCAGGCCGTGTGTCTTCACCCTGCTGCCTGCAGCGCGAGTGGACGCGCCAAACTTCAGGGGCCGGAACGCCAGCCACAGGGTGACCTGGGCAGCTGTGTTGATGTTCATTATGTTTGTCATGCAGGGAAGTGACCTTCTCTTGCCCCCCAGACGGTGAAGCTCACACAGCAGCAGTCAGGAGGTGGCGTCGGAAGCGAGGGGGCTCCATCGTCACAGCGGCGGAGATGGTAAACTCTACCAGGTAAGGACTGTGCGTCTTCCTGGCTGTCACGTGTCTGTCCCCGCCCGGGTCATCTTCCCCGTCCGTTCCCAGGGGAGACTATTTGGGGTCCTGTCGTGAGCAGTTAATGGTGGAGAAGTTGCCCGCGGGAAAGACACTGGCACAGCTCAGAGGTTGAAGTTTGACAAGCAGTGTTTGTTTTTTCTTTTACATGAGAAAACTGTCAAGTGAGGGACAGCGTACTGTGTGGCACGAGTGAATCATGTCTTTTGAGAACGATGCTAGATGAAGGGGTGGGTTTTGCTTAAGTGGCTCTTCGGAGACTCTTCTCATCTTTTATATGTTAAGGAAAAACATTTTAATAAATGTCATAAATATTTTTTTAATTAACATTTGTGGAGCCCGTGAGACGTGTCAGGCAGAGTGCTGGGTGCTGGGGAGCTGGGACAGGGCACGCCCACCACCAGCGGGAGGGAGACCCAGGGTTTTGGCTGCCTTCCGTGTTCCCGTCCAAGATGCCACGGAAACATTACCCGTCCGTAGGGTGGGGTAGGTCACTGCCCTTTGTATAGCACTTTATACTGATGGTATCACTTTGGTAACAAGCACCCATAGGTACGGGCTATTCCATTTTGAAGATGGCAGATAGAATTGAAATGTCGGCCATGGTGCCCCCTCCCCCCCGCACCCCCTTTATGAGAATCTGCCTCCCAGCCTTATGCGTTCACAGTGAGGGGAGACGGGCTAGAAGTGGGGTTAAGGACTAACCTTGTGGACGTGATGAAGCCTCCATAAAAATCCCAAAAGTAGGGGTTTCGGGGGCTTCTGGGTTGGTGCACACATCTGTGTGCCGGGAGGGTGGGGACCCCCTCCCGGCGGGACAGAAGCCCCTGCACTTGGCCTTCCCGGCCTCGCCCTCTGTCCTTTCTCGTACCCTTTATTACACAGCAAAATGGCAAGTTTAAGTGTTTTCCTGAATCCTGTGAGCTGTTCTAGCAAATAATTGAATCCAAGGCAGGGGAGTCATGGACAGTCGGGTGGGACAGAAATTGTGGGTAGCCTGGGGAGTTGGCATCTGAAGTAGAGGGCAGTCTCGTGGGGCAGAGCCCGTCACTTGGGAGGTTGGCAGAGACTCTGGTCATGTCAGAATTGAATTCTAGGACACCCGGCTGGTGTCATAGAATTGCTTGGTGTGGAAAACACAACACAAACCCCCACACAGTCTGACATCAGAAGTGTTGTGCGTGTGGTTGTCGCATGTGTGAGAGAGGAAAACACAGAAGTGAGTGTTTTCTCTACAATCGTTATGTAAGAAAACAAGAGACCACGTCTCATAAAGAAATGCTGAATGTCTGAATAGGTAACACTGTCACGTGATTTGAAAACAAAATATGCAGTGGACCGTTTTGCCCCCACCTGTGTGTGTGCCTCTTCTGCCCCATTCCCACTTTATTTATTCCCTCCTCCTGGTAGCCTTTGCTGATGAATCACTTTTTATATATGGGGGTGCCAAAAACATGTATACACATTTTAATAAAGGAAAAAACTATTAGAATTTTAATACTGAATATATACCAATAACAAAAGATGAAGTCATGTGTGTACATGTTTTGGTGCCCCCGGTATGTATGTTGCGCATGACAACTTGAGTCAAAAGGCACGTGCATCCCTAATTCTGAGAGGCCTTGCCCCATTCCCTCCATGACGGTTTTCTCTATTTGCATTTTCACCATCAATGTGAGAGAGAGTCTATTTCCCCAAAGCCTTGCCAGTAAAATGTTATCAGACTTTTGGATTTTCTTAATTTCATTGGTGAAACATGGTACCACAATGTAACTTTTGCCATTTTTCTTAAAATAAATAAGCTTGAATACCTTTTCATATGTTCCTATGAATAATCTGTCCATGCTGTCTGTCTGTTTTTCTCTACAGCTATTGATACTATTGTTTTCTTGAGACTCTTTACAAATGGGAAAGATTGGTTGTCATCAATGACAAATATATTTTTCCATTTTGTTTAAGGTTTTGTTGGCCATGCAGAGTTTTTTTTTTTTTTATGTAAGTTTGAGTCTTATTTAGAAAGGTCTTCCTGTATCCAATGCCATACAAGACTTAGCCCAAGTTTTCTTGTTCTGTTTTTATGGTTTCATTACCTACCTAGAAATCTTCACCATATTGGAAATTCATCATGTTGCAAAGTGAGAAATACGGGTGCAGTTTTCTTTTCTTAATGACTGGATAATTGTCCCAAACCATTACTTTTTCCTGTCTGCTTTTAAGATGCCACCTTTACCATATTATAAATTCCCTCATAGATATACTCGTAAATCAATTGACCTATCAGAAACAGGCTTGTTTTGTCTGTCCATTAGTCTATCAATGTTCTAGCACCACACAATTTTAATTATTGTTTCAATCAATGTCATAAAGCTCTTGATCTTTTTTTTTCAGAGGTTCCCTGGCTTCCTACTAAGTTTATATTCCCATATGAACTTTAGAACCAATTTGGCTTAATTGATTCTAAATGTTACTTATGTAATGTATGTTTTAATCTTTTTAAAACTTTAAAATTGAAAACATCAAACATATGTAAATGAAGACAGACCAGGAGACGTGACCCCAACTTCAGTGCTCATTCTGGGCCTGTCTTCTCTGTCGAGCCTCCCATACGCTTCCTTCTCTTATAGTCTTTTGAAACATAGCCCAGATACATCATTTCATCTGTAAGCCTTTAAATATATAAATCTAAACAAAATAATTCCTTTTTTGTAACAAAATCAAAATACTATTATCACACAGGCAATGAAATATCCTTAATTTCTCATAATTGTCTCATAAATACCATACATTTTTCCTGGTTTTTAATTGAGATTACATTTAATTTATAGATTAATTTCGTAAAAACTGACACCTTGATAGCTGAGTTTTCGTATCTACAGGAAATGTATGTCTTTCCGTTACTGAAGTCTTCTAGTCATCCGCTGCTGTTTGGGAGTGTTTTTAAACAGGTAGTTTAATTTCTTCTTTTATCTGATTCTTTTTCATCTTTGGTGTGGCTTTTGTAAATTATAGCCTCTAACTCGTTATTGTTTGTATTTATGAATGATGCTGATTTACATGTGATAATTTTCTATCTTCTAATTTACTGCAGTTTTTCCTGTGTGTGATGTATTTTTAAATTGACTTTATTGGATTTGAAGGAATTCTTCAAATCATCTGCAAATAGTCATGGTCAGACATCCTCACTCGTTTTAACCTCTGATTTCTTTCGCTTTTCTAATCGCATTGACCAGTGCGTCCAGATACGAGTTAAATAATAGTGGCCCCGGCACGTCCATGCCTGGTGTGGACGAACAAACTAAGGCAGGCTGAGGTGCTCCTACGAGAAAGACGGTTGAGCAGCACAGCCTTCGAGACACAGATTTACTTGTCAGGGCTCCAGCGACATTCATCCCCCAAAGCAAAGCTACCAGAAGGAGACTGAATCACTTTCATATTTTTACTAGTAAAACTCATCCCCGTTGAGGTTTCCCTCCCACTGCCGCTCTCCGAGCCTCTGAGTGTAGTGTAAGGCACAGGGACACCTGGCTGTCCTACCCCCGCGGCCGCCACTTCTGCACCAGCTCTGCTAGGTGTGGTCTCCTGGGGTGCCATGCACCCTGAATCTGTATAAACAAGTGTACTTCGGGTGTCCCCAGTTGCTGAGGATTTTAAGTTTCACACATAATAAGGAATCAGAAACTTCATGCTGAAATTAAAGAAAAGATAAAATTAATGCCTAATCAAGAAATCCATCCCAAAGAGCCCCAAGAAATGCTGATGTAATGGGAAATTCAAACTCTTTCTTTCCTTTCTTCCTAACACAAGGCTATTCAAACACCGCTCTAGTGGACGAGAAAATGAGCCACTGTAAGTAAAGAGCTCCTAAGAGGACGAGTGTGGGGGAGGAAGAGAATATGGTGGCCTGGACACCGGGTGCTCTCACCGCCACCGTGAGTGACGCCCCCACAGTGCTCCTGGATGGCAGTGCCAGGGAGGGAGGGAGAGAGACGGACCTACAGTCAAATAGGAAACTCCACGGGCGCATTGGTTTCTAACACACATATTCTTTTCAGCCTAGATTGTCTCACCATTGGCCAAGCAGTGTCATAAAACACTTGTTTTTACATGGTATGGGACACCTTCTACATCTTTTTATTACTTCCTGTGGCTAATGAGAAATAATGAAGATATATTTCATGCACCTTAATGACTTTTGGGGGCATTATATGCTAACAGTTGGTGTTTTCTCCCCATTAAGTTAGGAAGAGAAGTTTCACCTGTATCATCTGGTATTAAATATTTGTTTTCTCTTCCCCTGAGTTCCTCTCTGCCTCTATCTCATACTGCACCATCGCCCTCACAAGGAAGGTGACACAGTGACTATCTAACTAAATGTGCAAGGGAACCAGACTGGTGACATAAGGACTGAGACGTTGAATAGAGTTTTTAAACAGTGATAGCACATGAAGAATTAGGCTTAGAACCCACTTTGGTATTTGCCTGTCTTTTGCGTTAAAATGCACACAAGCGCTGGGAGCTAAGGACAAGCTCAGAGACGCCTTGCTGAGCTCATGCTGTTGTCACAGTCATTCTCACACACCACTTCTGACAGCAGCCCCAACACCCCTCCCAGGGGCGCAGCCACTCGCCCCCTCGCCAGGGCTCTCATTACCTGGAGCTCAAAGGTTTGAACTGTGGTTCCTGTTTTGTTATATAAAAACTGACCTAGGAAAACCTCTTCTCCTCCACACTGTTTCAAGATGCCCTATAAAAAAAGTGACAGACATAGAGGGTGTAAGGACTGGATGCTCAGTTAAAATAAACAGAGGCAGTTGTCTGCTCAAGTACCAACAATTCTCCATACACCTTTGGGGTCCACCAGGGGTGCAGTGCTGGCCTAGGTGCCAGTACCGCCCTCTATGCCCAAAGGTGTTGAACTTGGGAGTTTGCAATGCAAGAGGCAGGCTGATCACAGGGCTGACTAGACAGATAGGAAGAAGGGAGATGGATAGATACGTAGACATAAACACCTGAAACGTAGATGAAGGGTGGGTGGGTGGATGGATGGATGTAAGATAGATAGATAGATAGGAAGAACAAATCCTAGCATTAGCTCTGGCCTAATAAGTATATTTGCAGTCAGAATACTTTGAATTAAAAAAAAAACGAGCCCATGTGTTGACCCAGCGTTTTCCAAAATAAGATAAACTTAATCCAATTTCCAGACTGACCACACAAATAGCTCTGTCCAAAAAGTATTTGCTGACTGAAAGAAAACATTGATATTTGTATGCAATTTCCCTTATTTATTTTTTTTACCTTCCTTCTTTACCTTTCAAAATTCAAGGTTTTTGAGAGGAGAATGCACTGGTGGGAGTTAATTTCTTTTGTGACTATCTAAAGTTTATCATTAGGTTCCTTAAATCATGGTAACAACAAAATAAAGTGTTCATTAGTTAAATTGTTTTATAATGAACATATTAATATTTAAACTAGTAATATAGTTTTGTTAAAAGAATTGACTACATCATGATTAAACAACGCACCCACAATTACAGATACAGAAACTCGAGCCTCATATGGTTCCTTTAGCAGGTTAAGGAGGGGGGCTTATTTTATTTCTACCTTCTTTATTACCATTTTAACTTTACTTGGTTCATAAATTTAATATAAGAGAAAAATGATGAGAAGTAGTTTTTATTACTGAAGGATTCACCCATAATTCCTGGGTAATGAGCAACTGTGCACCTGTCTGAGATGGGATATGACCTGCTCAAGTTCAACCCAACTCAACTGTAGGGCTCAGCAGACACCTGCTGTGGGTGGCAGCAGGCTTGCACCAAAGGATGGTGGTCGTGTTTCTGTTCTGAGGCCCAGAATCATGGCATTCAGAGGCACTCGATGAAGCACAGGCAGGCTGAGCGCCGTGTTTCCCTCTGAGCCCTCCCCCAGGCGGGACAAGGGACTGAAGGCAGCATAGACCTATGGGGAGAGGTGGGAGCAGACACGAAGCCCGGACATGGCCAGAGGGCGACTGGTGTGGTGCCCTGGAGAAAACACAGACCCCTGGCTGTGGGAACACACACAGACGTAGGCTGCACGTCCCAGAAAGCTCCAGAGGTGGGGTGTGGGGCTGCAGGGGGCCCATCAGACGGGGGCTGAAGCAGTTAGCCCCCAGCCCTGGCCGGTCATCACCCGGCCTGGCCCAGCACAGGCCTACCTTCTTCCTCCCAGCTCCAGGACAGCAGGGCTTGGGGGACCTGCACGTGTCAGAGGTGAGGGTGCACCCTGTGTGTTCCTCTTCTCCCCGCCGCAGCCCCCAGCATGTGGCCGCCAAGCCGAAACGGCACAGCTTGTAGAATTCCTCCCAGGGTCAGCCTGCCTGATCCCACACTCTGGAGTCTCCAGAAGAAATGGCCCAACCAGACCACCGCCCATGCAGCCCCCGGGCCACCCACCCCACCAGGTGTGCAAAGCTTTCACTGGCTTTTGACTGTTTAGCTCTTAAATGTGACAGACGAGCATCACCAGACATGTGAGCAAAGCACCTAACAAGGACAGAGATCCCACCAACGGGATGGAGCAGAAAAACTAAACAAAACTATATAATATCTCAGGTGGCTTAAGACAAGACATTGCATCCACAGAAGAAGAAATTTAGACTTTAAAGGAATATTTTTAGGAAAAAGTCTTAGAATAATCATGACAGAAATGAAAAATCCAACATAGAAGTTAAAAGAAATTCATAAAATCTTTCAGAAAGTAGAACAAAAAACAAGGAAAATAAGAGAGAAGATTTTTAAAATAACAGATTAAATAATCAGTGGAACCTTTGGAGGTGGAAATGAAACCCCTGATAGCAGCTGTACATAACTGGCAACAAGTCAGACTGGAGCAAATGGGCAGATGGCCCAGAGGCTATCCCAAAAGAAACAAGAAAAAAGGCGTTTATAAATTACCTGGCATGAGTGAACATAATGGGAGGATATTTACACTTCTGAAGAAGGGGTTAGGAGGAGGCCATTATTATCCTTAGGAACATCAAAAAATTTACACGAAGCAAATAGCATTGGATTACACTAGAGGGCTCAGCTGAGAGTAGTCTATTTCCCACAGTCATGGTGAACACACTAAATCGATTGAAACCAACAGTAAGATACACCATCTAGCCATGCCACAAACACGAAACCCATTTTCAGAGTGATCTAGCCCTTCCCCTCCCGGATATAGACCCAAGAGAAATGAAAATGAACGTCCACACAGAAACTTGTGCAAAAATATTCACGGCAGCTTTGTTCACAATGGCCCAAAAAATGGAAACAAAGGTCCATCAACTGACGCATGGATAAATAAAATGTGGCCCATCCATACAATGGAATACTAGCAATTTTAGAAGAGACATACTGACTCACATTCTAACATAGATGAACCTTGAAAACGTGCTGAGTGAAGAAGCCCTTCACAACAGACCACGCCCACATGTGATCCCATTTATATGAAGTGGCCAGAATAGGCCCATCTACAGAGACAAAGTAGTTAGCAGCTGCCTGGGGCTGGGGGAGTGAGATGTAGGTGGGAGGTGGCAGCTCAGAGGTCCAGGGTTTCATTTGGGAGTGATAAAAATGTCCTAAAACTGAGGATAGTGATGAGTACACAGCTCTGTGAATACGCTGAAAGCCAATTAAGTACATGTTAATGGATGAATTGCATGGTGTCTCAATCATATCTCAACAAAAAGATGAGGATGGGAGAGCCATGGAAGAGAACTACTCTTCATCTTCCGCCAGAGAACATCAGTAGACAATAACCAAAACTGAAGAGTTAAGAATTAGGAAAAGTGAATACGAAGGGAAGAACCTAAAATAAACAGCCAAAGCTGTTGCAAGTGGAAGCTTCTGCAGAGGAAAAATCGGGGGGTGGGAGAAGTGGGACAAAGAAGACCCGTGTGTAATTCTAAATGTATGGACGTGTTTGGGTTTTTAATTGTACATGTATGACTTTGATAAAAATGTAAAATTAAGCAGGAGAAACCATCAGATCCAACCCTGTCCCTTTGTAGATGACAAAGCAGAGTCCAGGGGATAAGTGACCTCCTCACAGTGGTGCAGGTTAGCTGCACAGCTCAGATGAGACCCCAGCTCCTCATTCCTAGCCAACCACCTTGTACCGTAACCCGCTCTGAACGAAGGTGAGACAGCTTCTCACATAGACAGAAAAGTCCTTGGGTGCACTGGAGGTGTTTCCGGAGGGAGACACCTTCTCTGAGATGTGCTCCATGGTAACTGCACTTGGTATGATCTTCCTGGCAAGCTTGATGAGGGCGTGACCCTGGGAACCTGGAAAGGCCCAGCACTTCCCAGGGTGAACATCCGGCTGGAAAGGAGACACAGAGTTAATCTCTTACCTGGTTATATAAATCCACCCCTACAATAGAGGCCAGCTAGTCACTAAGGACCACAGAGCTCGCTTATGCGTATCAAACAGGAAAACTTCCAGACACCCGGAGGGTTGACTGTTCTTCCGACTGTGCACGTTATAATTATATCTGTTCGAGCCCTTTACTATGAGTATCACTCATTGCTCTGACTAGACCAGCGGTTCTCAACCTGTGGGTCTCAACCTCTTTGGGGATCGAACGACCCTTTCACAGGGGTCGCTGGGTACTCGGATGTGGGCGTATCTGCATGTGGGCCTGGAGACGGATAGAGGAGTGGTGTTGCGGTTCCTAAGACCATCGAAAATATGTGTTTTCCGATGGTCCTAGGCAACCCCTGTGAAAGAGAACCGCTGGACTAGACTAAGCTGCCAGAAGACAGCTGGTTGGTGTGGGTGGCGATGGCGTGCTGGTGGTGCGATGGTGGAGTAGTCAGTGGTGGTTGTGGTGATCATTGTAGTGATGATGATGGAGGTGATGGTGGTGGTGGTAATGATGGTGGTGGTGGTTAGCATGGCATGGTAATAGATAATGGTGATAGTGACGGTGATGCTGGGACTGGCGGTAAGGAAGAAACATGGTGTACCATTTTCTAGATCTAGACTATAGTCTGGAATGAGATCTGTAGGTTTGCCCTGGAAGGTGTTTCTAAATTGGAAACTAATTCAGGTGTGTAGCTGATAGTTAAGAAGAGCTCTACCATCTGTTGATGTCGACTGCCTTCCGGGTTGAACTGAAATGTTAGTGGGGTTCTTATTTGGAAGTTTCTCCTGTTACACTTGGGCAGCACGTGGGGGCGTGCACCTTCAGCAGATGTGTGTGGAGTGACTGAAGCTGTCAGTGGAAGAGGGGTGCCACAGAAGCCACTGAGAGATGTAGAAGCGAACGTCCTACTTGAGAAGTAAATCATCTAGTTTACTGACTTTAAAATAATAAATTAATAATTACTCATAGCTTACTGACCATAAAGTAAGAAATAATTCATGTAGTTTGATGACTATAAGAATACAAAGAGTTTCAGATGCTGTGACAAGTTCAGAGTTGCCTCCATTTTAGATATTAATATTTTCATGATAAAAAATAGGAACAAAATCCTAAAATATAAACAGGTTACCCTTAATGTAACTTTTACCTGAAGGATAATATCTGGAGGCATTTCATAATTTAAGAACCCAATCCCATGCCAGTGCAGTTTGGCTTTATCATTTTTATAACTTTCCGATGTCCCAGTTTCAATGATGGAAGCTCCTAAAATTATAAAATAGTTTTTAAAATAAAAAATTACACAACTCAAAACACCTCATCTAGATTTTAATAATGTTGGAAAACTGTTATTGGGTGAATTATGAATAAGGTAAAATTCATACTCAGGAATTGGTAGGAAAAGTCTGACTTCTTGATTCATTACCACTGAAATGTCGTCACTCTGAGAAAGTTTGCTCTGTGTAGTTTCATAACATTTCTGAAACCGGTTTTATGATAAAATATTGAATTGTGAGGCAGTCGATTTGGAGATGGAAATATCATGCGGATTGTGTTTATTACCCAAAGAGACATATAGACCACGTATTTTTACAGCTCATATAGTAGACAAGGCTTTATGTCAGCCCAGGTCACTCAAAAACAAAAAAGCAGAAAAACCAGTAAGAATGTAAACGTACTAACAAGTTATATTCATAATAGCAATTCTGGGGATTTATTAAGCTTTAATTTTGGTCAAAGATATATGTAAAATACACTCATCAGATTTTATCCCATCAGGCTACTTCATTTTAGAAGCAAAATGTATTTTTAGAGAAGGCATAAATAAAATGCAAATCATTTCCTCAGATTTCATCTAGACATCACAACGTTAAAAATGCCTGTGCCTGACTATCTGCTCACCAGTGCATTTTCCAAGATGGCACAATTTGAAACGGTGAATGTGTACGGAGGGGTGCCAGATTTAGCAAGTAAAAATCCAAGACTCCCTGTTAAATTTGAGTTTTAGATAGTTAGTTAGTTTTTGGTATAGTATGTCCCGTATAATATTTGGAATGTATTTATACTAAAAAGTGATTTGCTGTTTGCCCGAAATTCAAATTAAGCTGGGCCTCCTTTGTTTTCTTTATGTCGTTAGATGCAATATTCTATAAATGTCAGTTATTTCAAGCTTTTGATAGAGTTGTTTAGATCTGTATTCTGACTGATTTGCTGTCTTCTTTTTTTATTGGTTACCTCAGTCATTTTAGCACAAAATATAAAGGGTTGTAATGTCTGTGACGCTAACCGAACCTCTGCATCACCGACCTGGGTGTGGGGTGTCTCCTTCCCGAGGCCCCTGGGTGTGGGGTGCCACCTTTCCTCGAGGCCCCTGAGTGTGGGGTGCTGCCTTTCCCCAGACCCCTTTCCACGCCATGAAATTGCAGTTTCGCTGCCTCTGAGATTTGCGCCCACCTCAGAGCAGTCAGCTACAACCAGGTCTGGTGTGTTCTTCATTGTCTAGATTTGTTCATTTCACTCCTAAAATCACCAGCTACATAAATGTGTTTTCCTTATAAAGAAATGCGTATATCAGAGACACAGTTGAAGCATGAGCTTCTTTCGCTGTGTCACTCACCTGCTGACTTAAGGGCGTAATCAGCCATCTGGACCCGGTCTTCTCTCAGCTTTTTAAGGACATAATTTACCAAGTTTGACGTTTCCTGTACAAAGTTAAAAAAAAAAAAACGTTTTCCATTAACAATCCCTGGCCACTGCTGGAGTTTTACATTTCACACTGTTGTTCCCTAATCTGTAAAACAGCAGTAACAGTGGACTTTCACCAGCCACACGCTGAGCCCGGCACTGCACCCAGATTTCTAGTGTCACCCTCACAGCTCGGTGGGACCAGCGCTTCTCAGGCAGCTGAGGGAACTAAGCTGTGTCACCTCACTCCTCCAAGGTCACAGAGTAAGGTCACACCTAAGACCCCTCCTGAAGCCCTACTGACTACCGCGTGGGCCCTCAGCGAGATACAGTTGAGGTTGCGTGTGTGACCTGCTGAGCCCCTTCCTTCTTTAGTGTGTCTTAGACTCGCACATTCTATAGACATTTGGGAATTAGGGCAGTTGATGTAAAGTGCAGATTGCTTATGTTAGAAGTTATTCATTCATTAGAAGTAACGTTGGATTCTGACGGATGGACGCCTGATTCCAGAAAAGCGCGTGTCCGTGTCCCGCCCGAGGGAGCGTGCAGTTCTAAGGGACAGCACCTCGTCCCAGTGACAGAATGGAGCCCGCAGGCAGTAGGGGTCTAGGTCAGGTTTCTGTGCTGTTGCTGGAGGGAGAAGAGAAGCAAAACCAAGTTCATTGCTCTCTGTGGTCATGTTGCCTGATCTGCAGCAAATTAGGTCAAATACCCTTAGTTTTAGGTTCGTCAATAAAAATAGCTTGCTATTTAAAGTATGTGTGTATAGACATCCAGAGGCTGCAATTTCCGAATGACCTTTTGTTTGTTTGTTTGTCTATTGGAAAATAAAACCGAATTGGTTCTTTATTTTGGTGGGAAGTGAGTGAGATTGCAGTGCGAAGTCTTCCCTGTGACAAAGAGGGGATGAAAATGCGGGTCCAGGGGCCTTCAGCTTTAGGGAAAGGCAGCCCGTCAGCGGGGAGGGCACAGCCACACCTGTCTCCACTCAGGTGCGGCGGGCGGTGACACGAGGAGGCGACACGAGCCCCGCGCCCCCAGCCCCGTCGCACCTCGTCAATGACCTCGGCGCTGTCCCGGGCCCCGCCGGGGTCCCCATCCGCGCTCCGGCCGCGACTGTGCAGACCGTCCTGTGTCTCTCTCAGTAACGCCTTCAGAGCATTGATTTGTTCAATTAAAAATAGAATTTCACGAAAGTTGTTTTCCAAAGCCTGGCTTTCTTTCCTGTAAACGAGACCCGTGTGAGAGGAGGGAGAGGCGCCCCCGCCGCGGCTCCGGCGGGTGGAGCGGCCGGTGCCGCCAGAAGTCAAGCCTGGCGGGGCAGCGGGGCAGCGGGGCGAGCTCTGAGCTCTGCGTTCAGCGCACGGGGACGCGGAGACGCCAGGGTTCGCCTTCCTGAGGGCGTCCTGGGGCTTGGGGTGTGCTCAGAGCCGAGCCGGCGAGTGGGGCGCAGCCAGCCCTGGGCCCTCCCTCCGGAGCGCTGCCGCCCGCCTGAGGCTGGGAGACCTCACAGAGTGGTCCTCCGTCCCCCTCTCCCCTTCCCCGCGCGAACGCGAACGCGGTGGAGTGTGGGGCGCACAGTGGTGTTCAGCCTGGGCCGTGGGTGGTGGAGGACACCCCCCCCCCGGGGGCACATTTAGTTTCTAAGAATGGGTTCTTCCACTTTTATAGCTTGAAAGCTGCTGGTAGACAGAATAAGAAAATATCAAGTCAATAGGTATCTATAATGTTGAAAAAATGTAAGCACTGCTTACCTAGCATTTTTTTCCAATTTGTAGAATATCACATGTGCACAATGTAGAAATTACAAAAATTTTGAAGAAATAAACACATGTTAGTGTGTTTATAACAGTTTTTATTCTATGCAAAAATGGTAACAAAATAGAGATCGTACCTATAGTGTTGTGTCCCACTGCACTTCCCAACTCATTAAATCTATTTCAGAATTATTTCACTGGCTACATAATTCTTCATTACAGGCATATGCTGTAAGGTGTTCATCCATTGGCCCATTTATCCTGTCTCAGTTGTTTTACATTGTTTTAATCATAAACACTGAAAGCACTTTCCATTGTATATTTCCTTAAAGAATTGTCATAGGAGTGGAAATGGTTTTAGTCTTACAATTTCACAAAAGCATTTCAGCATTTGGAACCACACCACAAAGCCCCACATATCAGAACACCTCACTCACTTTAAAAGTTCCAGTTGCTCTTTCGGCATCCAAAGTCTAGCCTGGAAAAAAAAGACAAACTGAGTTATTTTTCTTCTTCGCAAGGGGGAAAGAACTCCCATGTCCACCTATGATGGACATGCGTGACGGGCGGGGCACACAGAGGTCCTCTGAGACATGTGCGTCCTTTCAGCCTGCCTGCAAACACTTGTATTTGGAGGTGACGAGGTCACACCCACGTCCGTTTAGTGATGGAGGAGTGGCCTCTACTGGAGCTTGAGGATGGGTGTAACAAGCCCTGATTCTCAAGAGGGAAGGTGCTAGGTGCCTTTTAAGGACATGGGAAGGGGCAGAATATGCGAAATGGGGGGGAGGGGTTCTGGGGGGGGGGAGGGGCGCAATGCAGGCATCAGAGGACCACACCGAGCCCCTGTTCACCCTGCAGACAGTGAAGGGTGTCCCTTGCTACACGAGCGACTGGATTTGATCAGCAGTAACCTCAGAAGAATTGTAACATTTACCTGAACAGGGCCACCTGGTGTTTCCACTGGGGGTGCTGGTCCAGGCTGAGAATGACCAGGGACAGAGGCTGTTAAGGACCCATGCCCTGGGCCGCGGTGGAGGCAGCACTGAGGAGACCCACACAAGCCACAGTGGGCAGCTGCCATGGGCCACTCCCTCTGTGCCCCGGGCTCCACATACCATGTGGGTTCCAGACTCTCCACAAATGGCTGCAAACCCAGCAGCTCAGAACAACAGAAATCTGTCTGGTCCTGGTGGCCGGGAGCCCAGTCGGGGTGTCAGGAGGGCCGCACGATCCTCTGAGGGTTCACAGGGAGACTGTCCCCGCCTCTTCCAGCGTCCAGCGACTCCTGGCCCTCAGGGCTTCTGGCTGCATCACCCCTGACTCTGCCACTATTGTCACACGGCCTTCTCCTCTAGTGTCTTATAAGGGTTCTTGTCACTGCATTGAGGCCCGTCTGGGAAATCCAGGATGATTTTATCTCAAGATCCTGAATTGCATCGTCAGAGTCTTTATCCAAATAAAAGTCAGGTTCTGAAGATTAGGCTGTGGACTTAGCTTTTGGGGGGTCACCTCTCAGCCCACCGTCAATACGTGATCTGGAAAACAGGCTCCATCCTCTGCTCCTACGTCTCCTTTTCTGTCTCAAAGACTGACTTCCTGTTTGCTGCCCGGAATTCGCGCCTCCTCGAGGCTGCCGTGTGCTGTGACAGGGGCGTGCGGATGCAACAGCCTGGGACAGAGAACGCTGTCGCCTTGGTGTTTCCTGCTGAGCAATGACATTTCCCGTAGGTTCTCCTCAGCATTTTTCTTTGGACGGGCCATGGATTGGGAGCTTATTTTTGGTAGGAGCGAGTCTTAGTTCTAGTTTTTCAACTTCTGTTTAAGTTTTCTATCAGTAGGGGCAGTGTTTTGAATTTGCTTTTTTCTGTCCTGGCCTTAAAAGAACATACACAGAACAGTCCTTCATTAATTTGCTTCTAAATGAATTTGAGAGTTCTTGAAAAGTAAAAATTTCCTGATTTTTAAAAGTATTTTTTATTTTGCCTTGTTTCCAAAGGAGTTCAGGTGGCTTCCACTATCGGAACAAATGTAATATTTGTTTTATTTTAGGCACTGTTGACTGAGACCCAGAGTTTTATGCCTTAGAACGTGGCTCCAGGAATCTGAGCTGGGACAAACTCAATGTGAGTTGTTCACAAATGCCTTTCCTCTCCCTTAACCAAACTCCCACCAGACACCTCACTTTAAACCGTGTGGCTTCCAGGTGAATCCTAGGAGGTGCAGTGGCTGAAGGCTGTGCTCCTGGGTGAGTGATTAAGGGGCTGCTCTGTGAAGGCCACGGACTAAACTAGTTAAATGCTGGAGCTAGTCCTTTGCAGTCGTTGGTTTAAGCTCCGCGTTGTGACAGTGGTTGTATGGTTGCTGAGGTTGTACCTTGTGTGACAATAAAACTGCGTCCTCAGCGGAAGCAGCAAACAGCTTCAGCTGGCGAGCTAGTGTCCGCAAGGCCTGGGCTTGAATTTCAGCTCCAGAACTTACAGCTGAGCTGCCTTACACACAGGTTTCCTTAATTGTCCTGAGCCAGCTTCCCAATCAATAAGTGGAGGTAGAAATACTCTTACTAAGGATCATTTTGAGGGTAAAATGAAATATGCGTTCAATGTGCGTACACTCACTTCTGGTGCATAGTTATTATCATCCTGTCCTCCACGGCGGGTGGAGAGATGGGGACACACACCTAGCTTTTGGAAAGCGGTATTAAGTCACTAAGTTTCCATATGAAAAGATCACCTAAAGTTGTGAATAGTCTTTGTTTATCCTTCTTTTAGGAATTTATCCTAAGTAAAAAATCAAGGATGGGTGAAAAGATTTAGCAACAGGGAAGATTATGTTTATGATATTGAAAAATTGCAAGCAAATCAATTGTTTGGAAGTATTTATTGACTATATTATTCACTGGATTGTTATTCAGCCATAAAAATGCTGTTTCAAAATAATATATAAAAATGGGGAGCATACTTAAAATCTGTTAATTGAATAAAAAGCAGTCGTAAAATAGTTTCTAAAGCGTGTAGCTCGGGATGTATTCAGAGGTTACATAGAAATAAGTCACAGTCAGTCTTAGGTGGCTTCTAACAGAGCCCTCTTCTGCGTGAAAAACAGAGTAACGCTTGTCAGTAATGAAATGACCCGCGTGAAACCATATCCTCATGAAAACAGCACTAGGTGAAGTCACTTAATAGAGCTCCGGTCTGTACGTTATTAGTATTAACCATTCACATGCACCACAAAGACAACATTGCCAGTTGGACTCACCCTGCACTGTATTAAATTTTAAATGAATGGCATACAAAATGATTTACTGCAACATCACCTGGTAATGAGAAAGCCTTGAGCCATATTCTGTAATCGCAGAGTAAACTCGTCTGGATTTCTGAGGAAACTCTGGTTCTGTAAACCACATATGATTTCTAAATCCTGTTAAAGAAAAGGCCAACTCTGATTAAAGAGTTTATCTGGAAATATTTATGAGACATTCTACATGAACGAATAGGAATTTCTCTAAGCACAGAGGGTGTATATGCTCTTAAAAAGAATACCAGACCCTTGAGTGACAATATGGAAAACGGCAGCATAGGGTGCTCCAAAAAAATCAGCCCTCCATTGAAACAAGCATAACCTGGCAGAGGTGAACAGGATCGACATTTTTTGAATTCTGAAATCTACTCCAAAATTTACAGCAACCAGGAGACTGAAGAAAAGAGCACATTTTTTGGGTAAGAGAGCAGTGTGGCACTTTGGCTCACCTGCCTAACACCTCCTATTCCCCAGCATGGTGGCAGTGGCTGTGGGGACAGCAGTCCCATTCCCGGCACAGCTAGCTGGCACCAGCAGGCTAACACAGGCCTTGTTCTAAAACACTGTGGCTGTGAGTTTTGACCTGGCCAGTGTTGCCCTGATTAGCTGATGCAGAGGCTAACCTTTGTTTTATTTTGCTCCCTTGGACTAGAATTGTTTTCTGGGAGGCTGCCATGTCTGTTGTTGTTAAAGTCATAAACTGGCCATGCCCACCTGAGCAAGGGACAGTGAATGAGGCAGGTGGCAGACAGACCCAAAAGCATGGGAGGGAGAAGGCAGAGGAGAAAGTCGCTTGTGGGACTAGGGCTTGGAGAGGAAAGGAGAAGGCAGTGAGCATGCTCAGAAGACAGCCTGGAGAGACCCCAGACTTGCAGCGTGGGCGGGTCTGTGGGCTCCGTGCAGGCAGGAGATGAAGGTTAAGGCAGAGAGTGGTGGGTGACTCAGCTTAGCCTTGAAAGAGTGCCCAGCTTAGAGTCAAGCAGTCAAGACTGGGAGAGCGCTATCTATCTATCTATCTATCTCCCGTCTCTTTGACTCCAGTAAATCTCTGTCAGGTCACTTGTTGACCACTGAGTTATCAGAACAGTGACCATCACTAAACAAATGACTGCAGCTCTCCACAAGCAATAACAGCAATCCCTGGGAAAAAGGAAAAATCTGATTTTCAGTTACCACATTATAATATTGAAATGCCTAGTTTCCAAAACAAAATTACAAGGCATAGGAAAAAAAAAACGAACAAACAAAACAGGAAAGTACTGCTCATTAAAGGAGGAAAAAATGACTGAAACCATCCCTGACAAAGCCCAAACATTGGACTTACTAGACAAAAACTTTAAATCAAAAACTTTAAATATGCTCAAAAAGTAAAGGAAGCCAGAGGTAAAGAACTAAAGAAAACCTAAGAACTGATGTATGAATGAAATGAGAATATCAGTAGAGAAATTTTAAAAGGAACCAAATATAAATTCTGGAGCTGAAAAGTACAAAAGAAAGTACAATGAAAAGTACAACTGAAATTTTTTTTAAAATGCATGAAAGGAGCTTGACAGTAGATTTGAGCAGGCAGAAGAAAGAATCAATGAACTCAAAGATAGGACAATTAAATTTATTGAATCTGAAACAGAAAAGAGAGAAAAGAGAAAAGTAAACAGAGCCTAAGTGACCTGCAGGACACTGTAAACATATCAGCATACGTATTATGGGAGCCTCAGAAGAAGAGAGTCAAAGAGGCAGAAATAATATTTGAAGAAACAATGACTGAAAACTTCCCAACATGATGAAAAGCATAAATCTACACATTCAGGAAGCTCAACAAACTCTTAACGAGGATAAAGTTAGAGAGACTTAATACCGAGACACACTATAATCAATTAGTCAAAAGCCAAAGACAGAGCATCTTGAAAGCAGCAGAAGAAGTGCTGCTTGTCCTGCACAAGGAGTCCTCAATGAGACAGACCATCATCACATTTGTCATCAGAGGCCATGAAAGCCAGCGTAGCGGGGTGACACATTAGTATGCTGAAAGGAAAAGAACCTGCTCTAAGGGTCATTACTTAGTAAGACTCACCTATGAGAAGAAAAGTCAATATAAACACCATACTTAGGATGATCTTCCAGGATCGAGCCAGCCTAAAAAGAATAGAAACAACAGGAGTTCAGCACTACCTCACCATGAATCTTGAATTAGAACTTTAACCACTACAACCAAGCCAACAAATGTGCTTATTCCAGGTTAAATTTGTGAATTAATTTCTAATCCATTATCTTTGACATTGATAGAAATTAGTTTTCAGGATGGTATATATGTGTATACCAGATGGTAGATACCCCTCACTTTCACCCACGTTATGGTTATGCATTTCTATATGTGTATGGTTGGTGCCTTTTCATTTGTGCATAAATACTTATGAAGTAGAAAACAAGTTATCCTTGAAGTCTGGATACAGAATGAACTAAAAACAAAAGTTGGAGTCTGATTTTGTGGAAACTAGGTATTAAGCTAAAGACCTATGACGATGAACAACTATCTGCTGAGATTCTCTAATGTAATCATAACTTTCTTGTCCACTTTTTATTGCCGTATGACACACACGTGTCAGAAAGGGCACAAACCATAATTGCACAGCTCAGTGGGCCTTCAAAGATGAGCCTACCCACGTAACCTCAGCCAGGACAGGACAGGACAGGACAAGCACACCTGCAGCCCTCTGACCCTGCACCTCCCACCCCGAAGGTCACCTCTCCCCCAAGCCCTGTTCCCACCGATTAGGCCGGCCTGGTCTCGGACGCCTATGAATGGAATGGGGTGTGGGGCTGTTTAGCTCAGCATGTCTGAGTCACCACGCTCTCGGCTGTGTGGTGTAGTTGCTTCATTCTCACTATCGTGTCCATCCTGGTGGTGGTGGGCGTCAGGGACTATGATAAACACGCTGTTGTAAATTTTCTCACAGGCAGTGCTGCTGGGACATTCCCGCACGTGTGCCCTATGAGCACACGTGTTTCATTTAGGTGTGCTCCCAAGGGAGGAACTGCTGGGTCACAGCTGTGCATGTATTTTGCCTCAGCAGATCCTGCCACACAGTTTTATGGAGTGGTTGCAATTAGGTTTTCACACCCAACTCTCTAAAGGAGAAAGAAAAGAAAATGGCTAAGACAGGCTGATCCAAAGCTTCTGGACAAAGTTGGGAAACAGAAGATTTCTGCTTAAAGCACCTGTAAGACCGACCGCTCATTAACTACAGACGACAGCTTGATGGAGCAGAAGCAGCACTGGGTTCAGAGAAGGGGCAGTGCTGGTTCCTTCCGCAGTGGGGGCTTCCGTTTCCTCGGGTCTCCATCAGCTGAGGGGCACGGTTCCTGCTCCAGCTCCATGAAGGATGGCCCCGGAAGTGACCTGACGTCCGGAACCTCCTCCATTTGTACTTAGATACGTGCACTTCTTTAAGTTGTGTTCTTTCCTTAGCTTCATGTGCAACCGACATGAACATATTACATTAGTTTTCTCCAGTTAGCTAACTAATGATGTCCAAATGTGTTCTCTCAGCGGTGTTGCCAGCTGTGGCTGTGACACTACAGCTTAGAATCAGATCTGAGCTTCTGGAGAGCAGACCCGGCCCTGGAGGAGCCCCCAGCCCCCACACAGACGCCTCAGGGAGCTTGCCTCCCCACACCAGGCCATTGTGCCTGCTGGCCATCAGGGTGAGGAGGACTGCTCTTCCCGCCAGGGACGTGTGCTCTTGAAGTACCCCCCTTATGTGGGGGCCCACTGTCTAAGTTATCCAAAGGTCATTACAGCCCAGGAGAGCCTTCCCGATGGGCTTACAGGCAGATTCCCGCATTACCACTCACCGAAGGTGAGTAAGGTTTCTGACAAAACCCTGCTGTCAGGCTGGGCTTTGCAAAGCCCCTGTGGGCCACGGCCACCTGAGGGCTTCTGCCTCTGCTAGAGCTGCTTTCCTCTGAGAGTGTGGCCTTCACACAATGTGCTCTGCCTGCGTGACAACTCCCTGGCACTCCGTTCATTGCTATGGATGTTTCTGGACCAACTGGCACTGTTTCCACTGGGAAGGCCATTTTGTTATTTTCCATTTTTGCTTTCCCAGTGGGCAGCCCAGGGGGACAGGCAGAGGGGCTTCGACCTGTGGCCCTCCGGAGTGGCCAGGGTGTCCCTGCAGGCGATTCCACTCGTGGTCTGGTGAGAGGAGCCCCACGTGTTGCCTCACACTGTGCAGGCCACTCCCACCCAACCGCGTGGGACATGCCAGGCTGTCTGCATTCCGGCACCAGCCCAAGCTCGCAGCCCTCGGAGGACGCGCTGGTGGGAAAGGGCGCCAGGAGGCTGGAAGGCGACAGCCACCTCTGCTCTGAGGTCCAGGCTCCTGAAAGGGCGGCTTCCCTTCGGAATCCTTGTCGCCTGCCCGTTTAATTCATCTCAGTGCCCAGCACAGAAAGAAGACAGCCTGCCACAGGAATTCCGGCCTGTGAGCAGGACAAACCTTCAGAAGGAAGCATTTGCAAATGATTTCCTCTGAGAAGGAGAAAAGTTCTCACTGGGTCATTTTCCAAGTGCACAGAGCACCTACGACACACAGCAGCGCTACCTAAGAGGGTCTGGGACTCTTTCTGCAGTCACACACCCACTGGGGTCCGGGTCCTCGCACCCCGACAGCAAAGCCTGGACACTGGCGCTGCAGCATGCTGCTTCTTCCGGGGGACCCCTGAAAATTGGGGCACCCCGAGGTGGCTTCGGCCTCCCACTCATTCTCCCAGTGACAGGTCGCGGGGAGGATACCACTGCTGGTTTTCTCTTATCTTGTGGGAGACACGACACCGCACATAGTGGGTCTGGTTGGGGTGGGTTCTCTGTCTTCTTACTTTATGGGTGTTTCCCCTTGGACGGGGAACCTGAGTGAGCAAATCCTGAAGTGCCTTGGCTCCTCTGTTGCATCACCCTTCTGTGACACATCATAATGGTGCCCATGTCACAGGTGTGCCAAGGCCAGTTCTCCACCTGCTGGCACATCATGTGCTTTACTGTACCACCTCCCAAACCCGCCAACGTGACGGCCCCGTACCTACTGCTCTGCTGGAACAAAGCAATCTCTTTCTGGGTTTGCTTCAGAGCCAAGAGGGACAGGCAGGCAGGCAGCCAGGGCCGAGGCTTTGAAAAATGGGGATTTTGCTCAAATACATTTTTATCCTCTTCTCAAAATACTCATGAGCAGGAGCTGTCTATATAAAATGTAAGATACTTATTATAAAATGTCTATCTGAAATATATTTATATCTTATAGGTATATATACGATATCATGGTATTGTGACATATACAGACACTTACATAGAAATAGGTATATGAGATCTCTCTATAAGATACATATTTTATGTAAACATCTACAAATAAAACTGAATAAAACTGTGCACAAAGTGAGGTTGTCTGTGAGGAAGTGTTGGATCCTTCTAAGCACTGAGAGCTGTTGTTTGACAGAAAAACCTACATGACAACATGTAGGAAACACAGACTGCGAGCTATTCTTGCAGATAGATTCTTCTCCTATCGTGCTTTGGTTTGTGGGCTCTTTACCTCGGCTCTTATCTGAGCTGGCATCTGCAAACGCTGGGAAACAGCACCTTGTTTAAAAAGTGGCCAAATGACCATCGTTCAAATGTCTTTATTTTTAAAGTTTCAACAAAAAAACTAAAGCTCCTTCCTGTTCTCAGTCGTTGGGACGGGGTGCCTCTGACAGCTGTCTGTCATCGCTCCCCTTGTCTGACTGACTGACACCTGTCAACCCCAGGTCTTCTCTCAGGGGCCAGGGCAGCACGGTGCTTTCCCGATGTCAGGTGGCCGGTGGCCGGTGGCCGGTGGCTTCCCGAGCAGCGGGGCCCAGAGGTGACGTGCTTCCGGGGAGCTCGGTGCACGCCACAGCCCCTGCGTGTGGACCCCGAAGCCAGCCAGGCCTAAAGCGCGCCCTGAGGAGGCCCGGGGCGGGACGCTGCAGTTTCGTGGAAACGGCAAAGGCTTTGCAAGTGCCTCTCGGCTCCCGGAGCAGAAATGCGGGAAAGCCGGGCGTGCGGACGGCGCCGGCCCCGCGGCCGGCGGAGCTGCCTGCTGGTCTCCCGGGCACTTAAAACGCGCTACACCAACCGGAGGCTGACGAGCAAAAACTCTCGTTTTTCTGGATCGCTTCGTGGAAACGGGGGTGCGGACGAGCCGGGCGGGGGACCGAGGAGGACGCGCCCCCTTCCCGGCCGCGCTCCGCGGTCCCGGGCTCCGCCCCCGGCGCTGCTGGGTCGCCGCCGGTTGGTCCCCGGCCGTTGCC